ACAAGTTGGCTCCAATTGTTTTATTTTTATTGTTTGGTCAGCTTTTTATTTTAGCGGTATTGGCAGACATAGAAGTTGTGTGGTATTTTGACCATATAATACCATTGGTTCTTGTGAACAGCAACTTCTGTGCTTCCATCTGTTGCCTCCAACCATATGTTTATGATTTCATTCATACCGGATTGGGACACGCCTATGCATGTCTTTACCTTTTCCTCTTAAGCTGAAGATATGTGAAAGGGTGTGCTTTTCAAAGAAAAAGTAAACACAGAAATTTGGAATATGCTTTTCAATGGTGCAATACGTCTGTTATTGTTAAACTAACAATGTCAGATGTCATTGTTATATATGGAATAAGTTGCGTCAAATTTTATTTGTTGCGATAGTTGGCCTTTACAAGATGAAGCATTTTCATGATGAACCTATTAGGTCATGCTGCTTTGTGTTCAGCACAAAGTTCTTCAAATTGAATCAGCTATGGTTAAAATGAATGCATGCTTTTGGGTTGGCTGTGCACAATGACTTCATAAATGATTTTATCTGTAGTTGAATTTTGAACCCTTGGAATCTTGTGATTTGATTACTTATCAAGAAATGTCTTGTCATTTTGCAGGCGGTGTTGTCTGTATCCAAACCTTTGATGCGTGGGAACGTTAGTGAGAATCAGGACCAGCCAAGTCCAATCTCAGTTTTGGAGCCACCATTTGAAGAGGATGACAATACATTTCCTGAGTCTTCTGGTAATAGCAAGCCAGACCACCGAGGTATATTCCCAAAAAGTTTTACTGAAAGTTTCGTTTGTATCATTCTTGTATATCTTATCCCACTAACTTTTCTTTTGTTATTGGTAACAGGAACAGTGGTGCCTCTTAAGCCTAATTTAATTGACAAATCACCACCTATAGAATCAATTGCCCGGACCTTGTCATGGGATGATTCTTGTGCAGAGACGGCCACTCCCTATCCACTGAATCCGTCATCAGGCTCAGGGGCTGAGGAAGAGCAGGACTGGCTGTTCTTTGTACAAACCCTCTTATCAGCAGCTGGTCTGGATGGTGAGATGCAATCTGAAACATTTTTTGCCAGATGGCATTCGCCTGAAAGCCCATTGGACCCATCATTGAGAGACAAATATGCAAGCCTGAATGAGAAGGAGCCAGTGCACGAGGCAAAGCGAAGACAACGGAGATCAAACCGTAAGCTTGTATTTGACTGTGTGAATACAGCATTGGTTGAAATAACAGGTTATGGATCAGAGTCAGACAGGAGCAGTAGGGCTGTGTCGTGTAGTGGGGCTCAAAACACCCTGGTAGAGAGTGGATCACCCATGCTGGTGGACCATGTGTGGGGTTGGATGAAGGAGTGGTTTAGTGGTGAAGGTGGGGACGGCAACAGCCTGGTGGTAGAGAAGGTGGTGAGAAAGGAGGTTGTAGGGAAAGGGTGGGGTGAGCAAATGAGAATAGAAATAGATAATTTGGGAAAGGAGATTGAGTTGAATTTGTGGGAAGAGCTTGTGGATGAGGCTGTGGTAGATCTGACAGACAGGTAGTGTGTTATGAGGCTTTTCTTTTTGTCTATTTTTTTTGTAACTCTTTGTCTAAATGATGGGTGAATTCATGTATTTTATTTTCAACAATGATGGTCCTACTTCGCCTACTACTCCTACCTGCCATATTTGTTTAAATCAATCAGTATTTATTTAACATTATCATCAAACAGCATTTATCTAACATTATCATCAATTATCACGTTACATATAAATAGTTTAATCGTTGTTATTTTAGCATTGGTTGTAACTGTCCCCTTGATCAGAAATTGAGTGATTAGGATTAATTGGTGCTTATGCTCCGTGTTTGTTCCAGTGGAAATGTCAGTTCTTAGTTGTTTATGTATTCCTACTGAAATGGGAGATGATGATGGGCTAATTATGTGTCAAACAATATCAGTTAAAACACAAAGTTCTGGGTTTTACATATTATTGATGAGAATTTTGGCTGTAAAGGGTTGAGATGTTCTTATCTTCTATATTCCTCGGTTCATAATTGAATGCATGAATCGGTGACTTGACCCACTTACACAACATTTAATAGAAGTGATTGGTTCGGCTTCACTTCAGCTGGGAAAAAATAAAGAAGCTGCACTAACTTAATTAAGGTGAATATACTTTTGTTTAATCTTTTTTTATTGAACCTATTATTTGTTTTCAGATGAAGCACTTTAATAGATATGGGGTCGAGGACAGCACGATTTCAATTTTTTTCAGATTTTGTTTTAATTCAATAAGGAAAAGAGGCGTCCCTTATCTTCCTCTACTGGCTCCCCTCGTTCAATAGCTTTTCACGATGTTTGAGGCACAGCTTTTATTATTCTCGTAATGTTATTGCCACTTTGCCAGGCCTTTCTATACTTAGTTACTGCGCAAGAATCTCACCCAAAATTATCAACACTTTAGCATCAAGGCGATTCAGATTGTAATCTCATTCTTTCTTTTCCCTTATAAAAAAGAGTGGGCAGCTCTTTTGAGTAATGGAGTAACCATAATTGTTGATGGGGATAGTAAGACATGGATGGAAACAAAAAATCTCACATTTTCGGATAGAGTAATGCTACAGTTATCGACGGGTGTACATCAAATTTGTACACCGAATGACGTAACAAAATCCTTACCGTTGATTCATTATAAGTTAATATTAATTAACAGTCAGGATTTTGTTACGTCATTCGGTGTATACTTTTTGGTAACTCTATCATTTTTTTTCGGATATGTGTGGCCAATAGATTCACTCGATTGCCCGGTACCGGTCCTGGTCCATATTCAAGAATATTAGTTGTGATGTTAACTGACCTCTAGCGACCGTGGCACAATACAATTAGTTACATTCTAATTTATTATATAGTTGGTTGGTTGAATCGGAGTGACGTATCTTGAAACTTGTCATCATGTTAAACAATTCCCTCTCTTCACACATGGGCTGCCATTGCTATAAAGTAGAAACATTTACGTCGTGGACAAGCTTTAAATTTTAATAATAAGAATTCCATTTTGCAGTATTGCCTTAATTCTTTAGATGTTTGACCCATACCCACCTAATAAAGAAGCATGATGGAGAGAGGACGTGGGAAAAAAATTTAAAGGAGCTAGGAGGAGATGGGAAATAAATTAAAGGAGCTAGGAGGAGCGTGCTGATAAAAGAAATCATTTTTCTAATCATCTTAAGTAGACATGGATTCTCAAGACTTGAAAAAACAAAACAAAAAAAAAAAAAACTCATGCCTTAAATGCTCATCAAATTTGCACAAGCTGATTGAATTTGAGTTTTGGATGGTGATGATTTAATCCTACTTTATTCTTCTTTGGAAAACTGTTTGCCTTGTTTCCTCGTACAGAAATAATATAATTGTATTTTATTAGGCAAGCTCTCTTCTAATTATAGAGCTCATTACATTACGTGTCCTTGTATATATTATCCTTAACTATGATTATGATTATATGATATATGTATATAAAATTTTGTATGTCTTCTCTTAGTTGAACTTTATGAACAATTAATCTGATAAAAGTGAAAAGAATGAGATCTCGTGACTTGTTCTAAAAGAGTAATACTATACATACAATATTTTTATACAATATGATATGATAAAAGATGCTTAAGTGAAAGTTTATTTTTAATTTAAAATTAATTAATCATTTTTTTTTTTTGTATGTCATATTGTATGAAAAATGTTATATATGTAATATTATATATTCTAAAAAACGTGAAACAGAATTAAAGGCACATTTTTAAAGCGGGTGGTAAAGAGGTAAAAGCAACTACCGCCAAAAAAATTGCTATTGTAACTCTTAACTCAAGGAGGTCAGGGATCTCGTGACTCATTTTATATTATACAATTTTCTCCATAAGCTTATGCTTATTAAATAAGTGGAGTCTGGACTGGAATGCTCAGGTCCTAAAAATGAATAGACACATCCTTTCTTTCATAAATTAAGAAACAGATTCTTATTTTTTTGGTCCTCACTACTTTTGGAAATTTTATGAATTTCACCATATGCAAATATTGATCTTTCAAAAATGAATATCATTAAATTATGCCCAAAGTAAGAAAATGTCATAAAACCTGACAAGCAGAGGATCAATTTATGAAGAATAAATATTTAATTGATAGAACTTGTCTGTAAGTAAATAATTTTATGCCCCCTAATGGCCTAATCGTGAGAAACCATAATTTGGCTCTATTTGTTGGAACAATGGCATACCCAATTTTCGATTCGATAACCCAATGCATAGAAGGAATTCCCTCGAGTTTTAACATCAATTATGGAAATGTTAGTTCCAAGAAGCAAGAAAAGATACATATATATCTCACTCCATGGACAAATCTCAAGTGGATAAAAAAAAGATAGTACTGGTAGTAGGTGTCAGAAACTGAATCAACTCAAAAGGAGCTAGTTAACCTGAAAGCTCATGTGGAATTTATGGTTCTCCACTACAGTTAAGAGGACAGACAATACATCTAGTGACTTGCAGATTGATAGGCCACCCCTTACTAAAAGCTATCAGAGGCAGAGGAGACGTGAGGAGCGCATGACTCAAAGGCATGAGAAGAGTGTGACCAGAAGCCAGGGGAATTAGTTAGGAATAAGTACACGTGGCTTGTAGGGTTGGTTACCTTGGGAAACTCTCACGTGTATATAAATGGGGAAGGTCTGCTAAAAAGGGAGAATATATTTTGATAAAAAGGGAACCTGAGGGAGGCCGCTAACTCCTCGAATTGTTAGCAACTTTATCTATCATTACGTTCTTAATTCTGTTTATTTTGCGTTATCGATATTGTACCACCGTGAATGAGTTAATATAAACACTTATTATCCAGTTTCATTATCTGTATTCTTTGTTGAGATTATTGGATTGTGATTTACTGGAGTTGTGAACTGTGGGAGTTTGAGGTTTGCATCAAATTGGTATCAGAGCGAGGATCGTTGGGGAATGGTTAAATCGAAAATGGAAAATCGAATGGAAGGAATGGAGAAGGAAATGGGAACGGTGAGAGGTGATCTGATGAGTTTGAAGGAAGACATGGGTAAACTCAAAGACTACCTCCTGGAGCTCAAGGAGTGGATGAGAATCAAGGATGAAAAAGAGGCTAGTCATAGTAGTGGGAAAAGTAAGATGACGGAAGTGGAAAAATCTGACGGAGAAGGTGACAAAATCACTGATGGGGAAAGTGACAAAAAAGATAAGAAGATTAAGAAGATGGACTTACCCTACTTTAATGGAGAAGACCCATATGGATGGACATTTAGGGCTGATAGATATTTTGCCATTAACAGATATGCTGAGGAGGAAAAAGTGGAGGCAGCTACAGTCTGTATGGAGGGACGGGCCTTGAATTGGTATCAGTGGATGGACACCCGGATGCCAGTAAAAAATTGGACAGATTTCAAATCTGCCTTGATTGAACGTTTCCGACCGTCGTTAAAAGGATCTGCCTGTGAGGCCTTGATTGCGTTAAAGCAGGAGGGAACCGTGACAGAGTATAGGGAACAATTTGAAGCTTACTCAGCTCCACTGACAGAGGTAGGAGAAGAAGTGTTGGTGGGCAGTTTTATCAATGGATTGAAGGAGGAAATCAAGGCAGAGCTACGCCTGAGTAAGCCCAACCAGCTGAATGAGGTAATGGATCTGGCCTATAGAGTGGAGGAAAAGAACTGGGTTTTAGAAAGGGCCCGGGGAAAAATGGGCAAAAGTCAAGGTTTAAAAGGGGAGTTTTACTCTCGGGTCAGCCCAAGTCCAGAGCCCCAAACCCAAAATTTTTTTCGACCTGCGTGGGGAACAAATCTGAATCGAAATTCAGATCTGACGCACCCCTCTTTCAATCGCGATTTGGGCCAACACACACCCAGTCGCAGTTTTGACCGACGAGAAAGATCAACGGAATCTCCGGCGGTGGGGTTCCGAGGGGACCATTTTCGGCGGCTAACGGAGGCTGAAATCCAAGTAAAACGAGAGAGAGGACTGTGTTTTAGATGCGATGAGAAGTTTGGGCCTAATCATCGTTGCAAAAGTAAGTCCCTACAGATTTTGCTTGCGTGGGAAGATGATGAACCTGATGATGGAGATCCTACACCAGACAGCAAAGAAGAACCTGTTCTCGAAGGTAATCCCGTAGCTCTCTTAATGAATTCCATAGTGGGTATCACCTCAGACAAGACACTGAAAATTCGAGGTCAGTTGGGAAGGGAATCAGTGATTGTGTTGGTCGATAGTGGAGCGTCGCATAACTTTATAGCCCACGAATTGGTGCAAAAATTGGGGATTCCCGTGGAAGGTAAGAAGGCATTCGGAGTGATGGTAGGTAACGGAGTTACCGTTCGGGGAGAAGGAATCTGTAGAGGCGTAAACATGCAAATACAGGGGGTGAAGGTTGTCCAGGATTTTTTTCCGTTTGATTTGGGTGGGGCAGATGTGGTGCTAGGAGTATCATGGTTGAGTTCCCTGGGTGATGTGTGTGCGAACTGGAGGAATCTGACCATGGCGTTCGAGGTTGAGGGCAAACGCGTCATGTTGCAAGGGGACCCCTCTCTGGTAAAAACAGTCGTATCTCTCAAGGCCATGCTTAGATCGGTACAAACAACAGGTATGGGCTATTTGGTTGAGTTCTGTTCTATTGAAAATAAATTAGATGTGAGGGAGGAACCGCTGGACCCTAGGGTGGCTATTGTGTTGGAAGAATTTGCAGCCTTGTTTGATCAACCATCCGGGATACCTCCAAAAAGGGAGACTGATCATGCTATAGTACTTAAGGAAGGATCTAAACCTCCCAACATTAGACCCTATAGGTACCCGTACTACCAGAAGAATGAGATTGAGAAGCTAGTAGGAGAAATGTTAGTGGCAGGAATAATTCAACCCAGTACCAGCCCTTTTGCCAGTCCCGTATTGTTGGTAAAGAAAAAAGACGGTAGCTGGAGGTTCTGTGTCGACTACAGAACACTGAATTCCATCACCATACCCGACAAATTTCCCATCCCTACCATTGATGAGCTGCTAGATGAACTAAACGGAGCAACCACCTTTTCCAAACTTGACCTAAAGTCAGGGTATCACCAAATTAGAGTCAATGATAAAGACATACCCAAAACAGCCTTTAGGACACATGAGGGCCACTACGAGTTCCTAGTTATGCCTTTCGGCCTTACCAACGCCCCATCCACCTTCCAAGCACTTATGAACACCATTTTAAAACCCTTCCTCAGGAAATTTGTACTAGTTTTCTTTGATGACATCCTAATTTACAGTCCGGACATGAACACCCATATCCTTCACCTTACCCAGGCCTTTAAGATCCTGCAGGAACATCAGCCAAGCAAAGAGTTTGATCAAACAATAATTGTGTAATTAAGAATCTTACAATTTGGTTATCATCGTTGAGCACAATGTGAAATGATAAAATTATGGTTATTATAGAGTACTTATGTTGTTGGATGAAGTATTTGCACAATTATTTGTACTCAAAGATGAGTTGTACTTAATATACTGTAACTTTTTTAGGATAAATTCACTACCATTCCAGAGGTTTGTCTAATTTTATGGAGAGTACTCCAATTTTTTATTTAAAAAATCAACACTCATTTTCCCTACCATACATGAAACTATAAGAATCAACTACTAACTTATATTTAAACAAATTTCAATTTCTAAGAAATTTTCAACTGGGAAAATGCAACCACTAGCTGAAACTATAAGAATCAACCAAAACTTAAGGTGGTTTTAGTGTGAAGATTAAAGGAAGCAAAAATGAAATTGACAACTGATTTGTATTAATGATGTTGAAGTGAGTACAACCAAGATCTCTCTTATATATGAAAGAGAGAATAAGTTAGAATTAGTAAAGTAGCTCGTTTGAGCTCAAACAATGTACAATGATATCTGTAAGGATGACTAATTAAACGACATCGTGTTGAAATAACTGTGGATCCTTTGTGTTTTTAGAATTGCAGTCTTCCACTTATAGGTCAACATTTCCTCAAACTGAACTATTCCTCATTGGTTGAAGGTCAACACTTCCTTCAAACCAAACTTCATTTCCCTGGCTATGTTTTTGACAGCTAGGGTCAAAACTCTGTTTATTCTGCAGCAGCCTGAATGACTTTTAAACAACACCACAGCATATATACTAATGATGAAAATTGCACACACAATAATGATCATCAAAACAACACTCAGCGTAAACTACTCATGGTGAAATTGACACACAATACGATCAAAACAACACTCAGCATAAACTACTCATGGTGAAATTGACCACACAATACGGACCATCAACGACATTCTTAGCTGAAATACTGCTTCAATTAAAGGCTTCTGAATGCATTTTCTTAGTTGAACTTCTACTTCAATTAATAGCTTATGAACTACATTTTTTTTAGCTGAACTGTACTTCAATTAATATGCTTCTGAACTGCATTTTTCTTAGCTAATTTCTGCTTCAATTAAACTAAAAATATACTCTAGCTTTAACTAAATCTGCTGCTTCAGTTGATTCTTTCTAAACTACATTTTACTTTTCAAATCGGAACTGCAGTCAACTATTGAATTGTTGAGTAACAATTTTCTGAATTAGCTTGATATTTTAGCTTCTGCATCAGCTTCTGATAAGCACACAGGGTCTTTAATGGGTGACCATGTGAGTTTTCTATGATTCTACGCACATAGTAGATCCTGGGGGACCAAGACAGTCATGCTAAATCTTAAAAAGTTGGATTAATGATTAGTTCATAAGTGCATAGACTTCAAACTCTTAGGAATGTGTAATATAACTGATGAAAAAAAGTAGGGAGTTTCTCAGATATGCTTGTGTGTAGGTGTAATTTAATTGCAAGTAGGCTTGTCTTATGTTTCAGTGTAGGTGTTTGTGCTAGATTCAAGCTAATCATATTGAACTTCATCTAACTGCTGTGAAGAGAATCCTGAAATATATCTCAGGTACATATGACTTTGGATTGTGGTTTGTATATGATACTAATCCTCCTTGGTTGGTTATAGTGATGCAGATTGGGTTGGAAGCTTGGTGATAGGAATAGTACATCTAGGGTGTTTCTATCTGGCAACAAACCTAGTGACTTGGTACAGCAAGAGTGAACTCCGTCAATCTCAACTACTGGGTAGAGTACATTGCTACTAGAAGCTGCTGTATACAGGTTTTGTAGATCAAACAAATGTTGTGTGATTATGGATTTGATCAAGAATGTGTTATTGTTTTTTGATATAATAGTGCAATCAATATCCTAAGAATCCAGTTCAACACTCTAGGCTAAGCATATTGAAATTAGGCATCACTTTATTAGAGATTTAGTTGAAGAGAGAGTTATCACACTTGCACAAGTAAACACAAACTTTTAACTGTTGACCTATTACAAAGGCATTGGGCTTTCAAACATTTGTGAATTTGAGGAAGTCCATTTGACTGATTCGACTTGAAAAAGTTTCTATCTTTTTTTGAATAAATTTCAAGAGAAAAAATTTCCTTGTTTTTATTGCAAGTGTACTTGATATGTGTTGTAACATGGACAATTTCTATCTTGTGAAAAGTACATTGTGAGTGATGTCCACCTTGATTTTTTCATTCCTCAAAGTAAATGATTTCTTTCATTATTGAGTTTTATTGCTTGACTTTTGTCACCATGGGAAAGAGCTACCTCGCTTGTAGTGTGAAAGTCATGCTTGAGTATTTTCTAGGATGTAGAGACCCCTATGTCCTTGGAAGATCTACCATTTAGAGGGTCACCTCTTGCAAGTGTAAAAGCTAACTTGGTTAATTTTGAGAGATTTTTGCCCAATGCAATCTATAGCAATGAAAAGGAAATTCAAAGTTTGAATTTATGCTTAAAAGAATAAAAATAAATGAAAAAAGGCATGAGGGAAAAGGGAGTTTGTTTGTTTTCAAATTGACTAATGTGTCATTTTCCCCCCTTGAGGACACTTAACACAAATGACAAAGAATGCTTGCTATCTTACTCATGTGTGTTTAAAGGAATGACGCTGTGGTGATGAATTTTTTTGTGTAGAGATTCTCCTTATGCATCTCTATCAAGTTGGTGAAATCAATTGAATGCTTTCACACCAGATCTTTATATCTTGCTCCTTAAATCTTGTGAATTTGTGAATTTGACCTCGATTACTTTGTCTTATTTTATTTTGTTTCAAAAAAAAAAAAAAAAAAAAAATTGACTAAGTGTTTGGTCTGCTGCCTTTGTGCCAATGTCACCACTTGAGAGTCAGTGTTATGTGTGCTTGCTATTTGTTGCATCACCCTTTGACTATACTGACTTAAAGCCTTATGTCACCACCTATTCTTGCTTGATTCACTGTGTCCACCTAAGTTTTGATAGTTAGCACACTATGCTCAATGGGTTCGAATGTAATATTATTCTATGTGGTCACACTAAGTTACCTTATGACCACCTTGTTTTATGTGACAGCTCAAGCAAAACCCCAATTTTTTTCTAGGGTTTTCTTTATAAGGTGCCACTTCGTGTCTATCATCACTTTGAAGCAATATTGTGCCACTCAAAGCTTATTTTCTCTAAATTCTCTGCGATTTTCATCTTGTGCATCTTAGCCTTCGTGTCTTTGTGGTTATGGAGCATCAAGAAGCTTTCATTGCTGACATTAGGAATGCGACAGAATCAAAGAAGAAGGCAAATGAGAGTAAGATTGATGACAACCTGATCCATCAAAGTCCTCCTCTGAGAAGACTCCGTCACTTTGTCTCACCGTTGTGAGCAACATCCTCTGACGAACCATTGATTGAGAAGGTTAAGCGCAAGAGAAGAATTCTCCTCTCAAAACCAAATATGTCAAAGAAGACATCCAAATCTCCAAAACAGAGAAGAAAAAAGGCAAGTTTGTTGCCACTGAACCAATGGAGGGGTAAACGTCTGATTTTAACACTTCTTTTGCTGAATCCATGTTTAATGAGTTCATTGTTATAGACCCATTTTGTACGAATCCCATGTCCAACTTGATGACTTTCCAAAAATCTAGTCCAGTTGATTGATAGACAATGGCTAAAATCAGTTGAGTATTCTTCACTTCCCTATCTAGTTGTTGCCTAGGAATTTTATTAGATTTTAGGAGATATTAACAAAGTTAGTTTGAATAAAAATAAATCTATGTTAAAGGGCATTGGATATATTTTACAGTGAAGTGATTAGGTCTTTTTGAATCTACTCTCGCAGAGAATCCTGATGATTTGACCATAAGTTCTGAGCATCTTAACCAATTAGTCATAGACCTTAGTGGTGGGTCTGTAATGAAATGGCCTGAGACTGGCCACATCCATCTAATGTGCTGAACCCTTTTTATAAGATTCTTTTCAAGATAACGTTGACCAACTGGTCTCCATCGCTTCACAACTCATTTGTGAGGCTTAAAAAGGCCAGTTGATTCATGGGATAACAAATAAGAAGCAGATTGATTTGGGGCGCTAATTACACTAACATCAAAACCATTGCCACCTTTCCCTTCCTGATTCATAGGATATTAGAATCCTATCACCTATGAAGTAGCCAGATGATACCCACTTGAAAATCAGGTTCATTATAGCCAAGACTTTCAAATCTTCAACCATAACCCATGCTTAGGATGTTCCTTCATCGTCAAATGCTACCTCTGGCAAAGCTAACTCTGGCCAGTCCAAAATTTTTGCACTTTTGCAAGGTCTTGACAGCAATGGATAAGAAATTCATTCAGCCTCTGATCAAATGGCACAAATTCACTCATTTTTCATGCAAGAGTGGATGTTTTGAAAGATATGGTAAGAGATCCAGGTTGACTTGCTGTCATCCACAACAGTTGCACCTTCGTCTACTGATCTAGTTTCGAAGGAACCACAAACTGATGTAAAAAAGATGTAACTAAGGCTGCAACTAATCAAGAAGAGGCTAATCGAACTGCTGCAACTAATCAAGAAGAGGCTGACCAAACTACTGCAACTGGTCTAGAAGAAGCTGACAAAACTACTGCGCATGATTGTGAAGAGGTTGCCCAAGCTGCTGCTGTTCTAGCTGATGTTCAAGACACTGGTATATCAAGAAGAATGATAGGCACCCCTTACTAAAAGCTATCAGAGGCAAGGAGACGTGAGAGAGCATGACTCAAAGGCATGAGAAGAGTGTGACAGAGGCCAGGGGAATTAGTAGGAATAAGTACACGTGGCTTGTAGGGTGGTTACCTGGGAAACTCTCACGTGTATTAAATGGGGAGGTCGCTAAAAAGGGAGATATATTTTGTAAAAAGGGAACCTGAGGGAGGCCGCTAACTCCTCGAATTGTTAGCAACTTTATCTTTCATTACGTTCTTTATTCTGTTTTTTTGCTATCATATTGTACCACCGT